TTAATCTGACCCATACCCATGACTTTACTGCACCTGGTCTGGCAAAATTTTACTGTTGACTATAAACTGAGTTCGCTTATTCAACCCACTTCTTGTTAAGAGATGAAACACTACAACCAGTGTTTGATAAATTGAATCAAGTCATGAATATTATGCTAGACAATCCAAAGTAACCGTTTACCAAATTTTATGGTCTAAGGAAACTGCCAGAAAACTTTCACTCGCACAGCATGTTTATTTGCGTTGAAAGAGTGCTTCACGTTATGCTTCATATTCAATAGAGGTAATCTCTGGTATTATCACCTTGCGTATTATCACTTCAATCCTCGATAGGACAGTAAATAAAGGTGGAGTGTTATTTCTGTCATATTTTCTGTTAAAAGGGAGACTAAAACAGAAAATTACAAATTTCGAAAATAAGCTGGTTTATTTATCGGGAGGCTACCTTGGGGAAACAGAAGCTTGCGGGAGCTGAGGACCAACCCAAGCAAGAAATTCAGATGGAGAGGGTTGGGAAGAGACGACCTACGGCAGCGACTGTCAGTAAAAGAACCGACGGAGAGCTTACTCGCAAGACCGCTGTTTCCCCAACAGATTTCGATTATAAGCTGCACTTCGAACCAATCAACATTTAGTTTAAAAATATCTGTTTTTTATTCCCATATAAAGATAGTTATGTCTCCTGATTTGTCCTAAGAGGCATTAAACCGCGTAAGAATTTTAATTTAAGTGTCAGCCTGCATGCAGACATCATCTAGTTCCGAGTATATCGCCCGGCCCCTAATAACTTTATGCTGCGTAGCAGGCGCTTGGAAGTAAAAAGAGAGAAAAAACGGGGCGCGCGACAAAGACACGCGAAAAGAGAGTGTCTCCCTCGCGCGCCTTGTTCTTTCTTGCGCCTTTCCAAGCGCCTGCAACTTAGAATATACTAAAAGCGCCAGTCGTGTTCGGCGTCAGGCGCACTGCTTGCTTTCCACGAGAACAGCATTTGTAGTGACAGGAGACCATAACCAGGGACTTTCACCTGCCATTTATTCAAGTCAAGACTCTTTACTGATGAGAATGCGTTCGACGCGAGTTTAGAGTACCACAGGATCACAAAAATAAGGTCGCAAACATTGGTTTTTTAGTGGTTTTGGATGACTTGTGGAATTGTTTGTTTTTGTTTTAGTTTTGTTGCTGTTATTTTTTCTTCCACTTTTTCTTATGTCATACAACAGAGGCGCAACTGACATACAGAGCAGAGTTTCTTATGTCTACGGGGAAATTAATCGAAGATGTCCAAAAACTGATAGGCTTATGAATAAGCCGCGAGAGTTCTTGTAGGCCCCTAGCAATGGCTTTAATTTCCCAACTTTCTTATTCCGTGTAAAGGAATAGGAGTGTGGCTGGCGACGACCCAAACAAACAAACAAACGAGAAACGAAACTTCGAGGGGTGTGTCGCAGCAGGTTAGATTAGGGACTATTTTACGGGTCGGCAAAAACAAGAAAACCACGGAAAACCAAAGGTGACGGTTAACGGTGATTTAATGCCAAATNACTGATAGGCTTATGAATAAGCCGCGAGAGTTCTTGTAGGCCCCTAGCAATGGCTTTAATTTCCCAACTTTCTTATTCCGTGTAAAGGAATAGGAGTGTGGCTGGCGACGACCCAAACAAACAAACAAACGAGAAACGAAACTTCGAGGGGTGTGTCGCAGCAGGTTAGATTAGGGACTATTTTACGGGTCGGCAAAAACAAGAAAACCACGGAAAACCAAAGGTGACGGTTAACGGTGATTTAATGCCAAATTCCAAAGACCAAAATCTATAGACCAAAGATTGACCGTAAACTGAAATAACAATACAAAAATCTCTATCAATTTGGCGAAAGGGCGATACTAAGACAAATAACGCGTAATCAACAAACTAAGCTCGAAAACGGTAATAAAGCGATTCTATAACGATTAGGTCGATAACAAGACGGTAAAATCTACGTAAAAGCTACATAAACTAAAATTAGACAATAATTCCATAAAATCTGATCTTAATCCTCGTACTATAAAGCAAAAGTGTGGGCGTTACTCTAACAGGCGTTCAAATCCGTTTTTCGCTCATGAAACAATTATAAATCAATTAAGCTTAAATCTGTATACTTGTACAGTAACATTCGTGTACTTTGCCCACAGACTAAAGAACGAAACTAAACAAAAGAAATAGCAAAAGAAATCACTTACATATCGGTCCCGCTTGTACCAAAGGTTAAAACAAACCACAAAAACGATGTTACGACGCGAATCCTACTTGACTTTTCCTGACCAAAAAGACGCTAACGCGCGCTTTTATACCCGCGTGGGGACGCCGAAATATCTCATTACAAAACCGATAGAAAATCAGGTAAACATTGTAACTACGCTAGTAACTAGAATCAAAGCATGAAAATCACGAAATCAATGAAAGGTATTGTTCTTATGTCTTGTCCTTTACAAGGAGGTGTCCGCATTGTAGGTAAAATGCACTCTGGGGTAAAAGAAAAAAAGACTTTAACCAAGCAGCCTAAGCACAAAGAACGGTTATTTAGGAGGCTAAGTTTGATTCAGAATTTCCTTTATTTCTTAGCCCTAATTATTCACAGAAGACAAATGAAATCCTGGATTAACCTGAGAACGAATTTTAACCACAAAATCTTCACTCAGGCCGCCAAACATTGTTCCCCCTCCTTCCTTCCTCCCGGAACCCTGTCTTTTTTAAGTTCTCAACGCTAGCTTGCTTTCTTTTCCTCATCTGGTTTCCAGTTTGGATTGAAGTGTTTCTCTAACGGCTCCCACACTTTGTAGTAATCATGGTCCACTTTCTGACATGTCTCATTTTCCCATTTTGTGATGGCCATACGAGACTGCTTTCAAACATGAACGCCTACAACAACAAAAAATGAAGAGAGCAATTCCCAAACCAACTAAGGCTATGTTCACAATATATCAGATAGCTTTTGCGCCGGCGCGAAAACCATACCTGACAAGGCCTCTGTTCACTCGTAAGAACAGTGATTTCGGCGCGATTTCTGTAACGGAGCGAAGCTGCGCCGCGCCGATCTCTAAAGGGGAGAGTCACAAATCCTTCTTCCTATCATGACAAGAAAAAACCGTAAATATTATAGTTTCTGACGAATACTAGTGAATATAAGCAACCACAACGCCGATGGCAACAGGCCGTCAAAGAAGCAATAGGTTTGATCACTAAAAGAACAACTTTGCACGTGCATCATGCTTTTTGCTCATTTCTCACTGCTCTACTAAAACGTGAAACGTTCCAATGAGACATATTGTAGAGGACGTAAACACCGATTTTTTGTTCTTTTTTATACTTTGATGTGCTCCTTAAAAACTCAACTTCAGGAAATCTCGCCTTGATTTGACCAATTACATGTAAGCCAGTTGAAACCACCCTCAAAAATTAAAAAAAGCGAAAAATTTAGCTGAGATTAGAGGCAAGGTGTGGCTCTCTCTTCAACAAAAAGCAAAAACGAAAAAGGAAAACCTTCAAACTGCAGATAAATAATTGGAATATATTAAATACTAGATATTAACTTTGGCTTCGTAATTTCCATAAATCAATCTCATGAATTCACTCATACAGTTTCCTGTTCATAAATTAAAAGTAAAGGATGAGAGACATGGCGCGTTAAGTTCAATCTCTTAAACTTTTTTTTTTTTTTTTTTTTTTTTCTTGGTAGGGCTCATTTCTTGTTAAGTTTCCCTTAACATTTTCCTATTTCTTTCATTATCATTTAAAATGTTTTTTCTTTAA